CAGAGGCTGTTGATTTTAATGGAATGATCAACGGTGAAGTGGACTACAAATCATCCATTGCTAAAAACAGTTAAGCCCTGACATTCTGCAGGTCAATTTTTTAAAGGAAATTTGAAAGGATTCAAGATTATTAGATTGACACAGCCTTGGATGTGAGAGAAAGGGACAGGGAACAGCTAATGTTGCCAGAGCTGTTGACCATCCTTGACCATTCTAACATCCCCTGGCCATGACCTGGTATATGCACATTAGTAGTGTGTAGCACCTAGGAAATCTGAGCTAAAGTAGTGAAAAAATGAGAAAGAAACATTTAGGAACATCTATCTTGAAAACCAAGAAGTGTCCTTAAAAGATAAAAAAAAAGAGAGGTAGCATGCATTGTCAGGTTGAAGTACACAAATGATACCTATTCATTCTTCAACATATCAGATAACAATTGAGGTCACAATTCATCAACTAACTCTTCTTATGGTTTCAGTTTGCCAAACAACTCTTTCATGTGATTTTAACTTCCCAAGAGAAAAAAAAAGCTGACTGGCCAGTTGACAAGAGCACTCCCGTGTATATATTTCATAGTATGTACCAATGAATTAGCAATCTGAATTACACATTGGTCACATTCATTGATTTGGGTGTCAACAAGTCTTCTGAAGCATAATCAACACCTCATTTGCTGCTAATGTGGAACTCCTTTGTCAGTTAATGTATAGGGATCTACTTTCTAATCAGCACATTTCTCTTTATATTATCACATACATCATATGCTTGTAGATGAAAGAGTTGATTGTTTCTCAGACAAAACAACATAGAACAAAAGGAAGAGCCACATTTCAAAAATCCCTTCAAGAATTCTCAAGAATCCATAATCTCTTCTATTACAACTAATATGATACATTATCTTTGGGTAACTTATGCAACATAAATTGGCATAGAAGTTTGAACTGAGATGTCTATTGTCCTCTAAGAATTGTGAACCTATTAGAATTCTGACAAAATCATATTGACAGTTACTTAGAAGTAAATCTATCTTTCAGAAACTGGAAAAAATAAGTGAATAGAAAATGTGCTGTAGAGTCCCAACATCTAGGGTGTAAAAGGGCTAATTCAAACACGAGTGTGCTGAAGATGAGCGTATGTATCATAGCATGAAGTATCTCTGTGGCTCTGTTCGGACCAATGCACAGACAGCATCAGCTGCAAATGATCACAAGTTGCTCTGTAGGAAGAAATGGCAGACTGGAACCAAGAAGTGGTAAAAAGAGCTTCAACCTCAGGTAAAGGTTTGATGGGTTTAGTGGAAATCCTTTATTTTGGTTTTAAAGAAGCTTTAATGTCACTGTGCTGAGTAATATAGGAGAAATATTTGGAAGAAAAGATAAGGTGAGTATGAATCCCTATAATGAGTATGCTGGATATAGGTGTCTCTGCAGTCACTTCCATGACAGAGCAAGCCACCATCCCCCACCCTTTCTGCAACTAAAAAAATTTTCAACTACATTTGAAAAATAACAGCATTAAGTATGACTTAAGTGGAATGGCTTAGACTATATTCTACTACTGATTTATTATTAACTTTGTAAATCTATTCTAATAGAACAAAAGACATATGATAAACCCAAAGTCATCTGTTGAATTTATTTCCTCCATTCCAAACTAACTTGGTAGGAATCAGCTTAAAAGTAAAAAAGAAAAAGTACTCATTTCCTCAGGTAATTTTTGTGAGTCCCAAGTCTTGCTGATTGTTCAATACCTATATTCAAGTAGTCCATCTGTCAGTCTAGGTTCTCTCTCTCTACCTGAAAGCTGCCTGAAGGCAGTAAATTGGCAGGAAAGGTTTCACTTTCTCTCTCTCATTGGTTTTCATTTCTTGATATAATGTCTTGAAAGCCATTACTTTACATATACTGTCTATTAAAATAATATATCAGGTAGAAGGGCCAATCTAATTCTTGTAACTCCTCTTTGGCAGAAGCAAATATCCATAGATTGCCTTTTGTCCACTCTTTCCTCTGTTTACAATTAAAATTTAAATTTTGTGGACCAACATCTTTAAATATTCCAACTCTCAGAACATTTCATGAAGAAGTTCCTACTGCTCTCCCTCCTGGGGACTTGGCAAACAACCCTGCGAGGTCTAATTATAAAAAAATCTTTGAGTGATGCACACATCGAAAAAATACAGTATATCTTTTGAGTGACTATTGCTCAGTGTAGTCAAGTTAACACAAGTGCATGTTTCTGGGCAATTAGAAAAGTTTATGGCATGACCAAGAGACTATGCTGTTAGAACATGAAAACACACCAGCGATCACTCATTCCTGGGGTGCTCCCACACATCCCCCAACAACAGTGGAAAAGTGTAGACACTGAGAGAATCTTGATGTAGATGCCGAGATCATTTTTTGTCAGTACATGTCTCCCTGAGGCTAAGTAGTGTATTTCAAAGAACATGATTCTTCGAAGTCAGTTAGCAAATTAGTGCTGCAGGGTACTAGAGTACCTCAGTCGCCTGACAGAGGTAATGTACAATTGCAATGTGTTCATTATGCCAGGAGGTAATTTGCCCTTTCAGCCCTCATTCCTGCCCCCTGTGCATGCCTCAGCCCACTGGGGTTTAGGAATAAGTAACTGTGGTTCCGTTTCCACTGGGTTATTTTCTGAATATATACAGCACTGGCACTTCATTCACAGTGGGTCTGATCCCACTGTGCAGGGAATTGTACCTGGAGAATCCCTCTAAAAAATTAGACAGAGCTGGTCACCCTGAGTGCCCAGGGCTTGGATCAGGAGTCAGGGCATTAAAAATAGCTAAGTTGATGCCCCTTGGCCATCCAATGCAATTTGATCGACTAGTAGGAATAGTCAAAATATATCTTCTTGTTTCTACATAGCTTTGAAAAGTCAACATATCTATGTATCTACAAATATTGGCATTAAAACTTTCTAAAGTAGAGATCTTTGATAACCAAAAGGAGAGATGGAAAGGGAAAGTGAGACTATAGAAATTCTTTCTCACTTCATGCCACCAACAATTAGCTTTAGTTCTGGTACAAATTTGGGACAAGGCTAGCAGAAGTAACTTTAGCTCAATCATCTAAAGGCTAATGACACTAAAGCAGTGATAAAAAAATTATTGTCATATAATCTGTCAAAGTCATTTATGCCCAAGCTTGGGGTCAAACTTGCAAGTATATGTACATAAGAGGCTTCCTTCCCTGAAATAGTGAAAGATTGGAACTATGGGGAAAAGGTTGTTAGATTTCTCTTCTTTATTCTCTACAGACTATTCACTGTCCTAGAGTATCAAGGGTCCTGTTCATTAAATGAACAAGCTTTATGCTTACACATATGGTAAAATATAGTATCTATTTTATCATCCCTCCCCACAAAAAATGTTTAATTATTTTAAATATTTATGGGAAATTTCGTTAAAAAAGCACAATGAATGTAATAACATGACAATGGCCATATGACAAGATTATGACAGATATTGATAGCATAATACAGAAATGCATCAAGATTCAAAACCTTATGTTACAAGATTTGGAACTTGACTTTTTCTGGATTTTTTTTGCTAAAGAAATTCAGATAGGCCAGTTGGTGGACGTAAGATGGGTCAGGTGGCCAGATGCTAGGTTTACAGCTAACCATTCTCTTTATTTATTTTCTGACTTTCTGTGCTACCTTGGCTGGGGTCTAACAATATTAGGCAGAGAATCTGTAGTATCTAAGTAAACCTTACTCATAACAGAATCTGGCTGAGAGACTGTCATTTCTAAATCTATTTTATCTCGTGTGATTCACATCTTAGTCACACTCATTCAAAGAGAGTATATTTATTACCTAGTGGTTTCCATTTGTGTAAACAATTTGGTAAAAAATTGCATATGTGTATTCCCAAAAATTGTGTGATAAGATACATGGAGTGAGTTATTCAAGTGACCTTAAAAGTAAAGATCTGAGAGCTGATTTCAAACATATGTGTATAGGATATAAATCACAGTGGCTTTGAGATGAAAGCTAAAGGCACTATTTCTTTTGTAACAGATGTGTGAAGTCTGTGTTCATGCTTCTTCTTACCCCTCAACCTGTGTACCCAGCATTTGTACTTCAGTGAGACGATAACCAAATGATACAAAGAACTGCTTAACATCTTGTGTGATGTCTCTGGTGAGGAATGACTCAGTGAGGGTGCAGGACTCTACCAAAAGTCATTGCCTACATAAGCTTTCATTTTTAGCATAAGGTCATGTACATGTGTGAGGAAATAGCTAGAAATGAGCACATATTATAAATGAAACTGGAGGCTTATATAAAAGGTAAAAGTAGTTTTTTCAGAGTATTCAGTGTTTGGAGGTTAATAATAATTAAAACTTGCAGGATTTTGAAAAAGTGAAATGGTTCTTAAGAAAACTAGCAGCACTGCTCATGAAGCATGCGATAATTCAGGTTCATTCTAACTGGTTTGAGGTTGTCACCCTAAGTTTGCCTTTAAAAACTACTCTTGCTGACCAAACTGTACTCCACAGCTATGGGTGCTCTCTATGTGGGCTTCCCAGCGCAATGATAACACTATCGAGATCTCTGTTTCTACCAAAAGTAATAGCTCTATTAAAAGGAAAACAAAATGGAAACAATGGAACACTTCCCATTTATACTACATAATTCATGATCAAAGACCCATATTTCATCCTACTATAATAAGTTCAGCATCAAGTTTTTACAAAGTTTAAAAGGAAAAATGAAAGTGGGAAAAGAGAGAGCATAGAAAACATTTGTGATTAAGAAGGTATGATGGAGGGAAAGAGACACAACAATAGTTTGTAGAGTATTGAATAAAGGGATAATAATATTCTTTTGAAACAGTCAAGTATTTTTATGGGGTATAATATAAGAACATATTAACAACCATTTTTTTTCAATTTTAGGTGTAATTTTAACCAGCTTGCATTAAATTACACATTTTATGGGAAAAAAAGTAGTGGAAATTATGCTCTTACCATCTGTTTTCTTTGAATCATTTCCGACATTGGATTGATCCTTCTTGTCAGTCTTATTTTTACCATCTTTCAAGTCACCTGTAAGTGATAAACATGACAAACAGTAGATGTATATAGCAAAGGGGAAGGTTATAAATATCTTTAAACCTGTCAAACAAAAAAAGATTAATAGTGCAGCATAATTGTAGTAATGAGGAGGTATATGTCTGACTGTAAATATTTTTTATAACCACATATTAGTTCCTGGAAATTGGATGATGGTCCATAAATTAAGACTGAAAGTTCTTGTTAAGCAGGGCTGCCGTTACGTCAATGGTGCTTTTTCTCCAAGAAGGATTGTTGGGCTGCAGAGTGAGGGGAACTATGAGTCTAATATAAGTTAATCAATTAATACCTTTGTGCTTCAGTTTCCTTATTTGCAAAATGGGATAACATCTACTTCGTGGGCAAAATATTAGGACAAATGTAGTTAAGACCTTGAAGGTAATATCTGGCACATACTTAAGAGCAGTTGTTATTAATCTGAAAATAGCTATAAATGGTTTTCCAATTAATGGGCTTGTTGAAAGGTAATTTATAAAAATTAAAATATGTCTGTACATACACATATAGAGTAAATATGCCAAAAATTTAAATCACTTATATAGAAACAGTGAAATAGTAAGGATGTTTCCAAAAGCACTGAAAGGATTGGTGATTCACAAGCAATTTAAAAATATGTTAAAATAGGACTGCTAGGTTCAAGGACAAACTGGTAGTGTCCTTCAGGATGGATAGGGTTGTCTCCTCTATGGGTCAAAAATCTACAAGTGAACATACAATTTCAGAATAACTGGACTTGAATCAAATAGTAAATGACAAAGTTAAATGCAGCACATTCTCCTAAGCAGGGGCCAGCAAATTGTAGTTCGTGGGCCAATATGTAATTATAGTTTTTAGTCGAAGCCAGAAACATTCATTCCTTTATAGTCTAAGGCTGTTTCCATGCTTCAGTGACAAAGATGAATAGTTGCAACAGAGATGAATAAAAGCCAGGAATATGTGCTACATGACCCTTTACAGAAAGAAAATAAGTTTGCTGATTATTGCCTAAAATAATTAAATAATCCTTGGGTAGTTCTGTTCAACAATATGCAGGGGTGGAACATACATAACATGAAAGGACATGATATCTCTTCCCCAAGTCTTATTCTCAATTTTGGGATATTTTTCTTATGCCTTACTAACAACAGCTTTCCTTTTAGCATGCACATTTCCTTTTACCAAGAATATGTTACTACTAAAGTAGCAGTACTTATGGAAGCAAAAAGACTCCAGTAATAATTGTAAGAGGAAAGAGCACACAGAACCCACTGTAGCATGGGATACATTTATCATCTGTGCTTTCTTAGTGCCAGGAAATGTGTAAATGCTTTACACACATTTCATTAATTTTTATAAAAAAAAAACCAATATGGAGGCTATTATTGAAAGCAGATCACTTCACCAACAATTACCTTACTAAATGTTCAGTTTGCTAAATAACAAGCTCACCAAATGATTGAGGATGTTTTCCAAGTTTGACTTTTTCCTAGACTTCGCTGTAGTCACTCAGTCACACACCGGCCAGTCCAGCCATGGGGACACCTGCCTGCATGTCACATACCCCTGGCCTACCTCTGCCCATACGGTCACTCTGGCAGCAAAAATATGCCTGCAGGCTGTCATAGAGCTGGTTAAACTATTCATCTGACAGCTTCTGAACAAATGGCCAATTGCTTTTTCTACGAAGTGATTTTACTTAAACTGACTAGTGGAAAATTGATGTGAAACTCATATTATCATCTCCATTTTATGTCTATGGTACTGTAGTCACAGATAAAGTGACTTAACACAATGTACACAGATGGGTTTGATTTTAGAAGCCTATCTCTCAGATACTGTAATTTGCAACTTTCTTCTGAAGCTCAGGTTTTAGGTGTTAGGCCTCCATTACTGTTGCCATTGCTAAATACGTCACAGATTTTTAAGGAGATGGTTATCTAGAATAATTCAAGGCCATTTTGTGCTGGTAAATATTCTACAAAGTATTTCCAATAGAATCTGACATATGATAAGCTAAGTGTGAGTGAATAAACTTTCCAAATTTCCCCTTCTTCCCATCTGAAATGAGATGAACCAGCTCCAGGGATTGAGGGGAAAGGGAGTGTACTCTGGCTATGGTGAAAACAGGAGGACTTGAAGTGAAGGTCCTGGTTATCACCCTCCACTACCATCACGAGCTTTCACATTGCCCTGGACTGGAGCTTCACCACCGATGGCAGCAAGAGTAGGTGGTGTTCCAGAAGGTCAGCAGGGGCAGTTGGATTTGCTAACCAGCCACACATGGCAACTTGCCTTCTCCTCAGTCAGTGTTGAGGAGGTTGAAAGAGGAAGAAGTTTGATGGAGATCAAAGTTTGGAGGATCCGTTACTGCTGATAGGGGACCAAAATCCTTAAGCTCCAAACTGGAACTATCTTAGGTGGTCACAGAGGAATGTGCCAGAAAAATGACACATGTTTGTTTGATGATGTTCCTTGAACAGATCCATTAGGTCATTTCCCAAGGGCTGTATATGCAGTAATGGTCGATTGTGAGCTGTTATTCAATAAACAGAAGGAAACAAAAGAGCCTTTCTGTGTAGTTATAAATCATTTTAATTAGGCTGCTGTAACACAGTCTTGACCACCATTAGCTTTTCTTATTATTGTGCTAAATTGATTTCTTTTCCCACCTCTCATTTAATACTTAATTTTTAAGGGAAATGGCAGAGTGCTGCTACTGTTGGGAAATAAAGGAGAATTCAACCCCATCCAGCTGAAAACTCAGGCTCCTGCTTTATGTCCTTCAGGTTTTCCCAGTATCTGTCCTCAAAATAAATTACTGTCACCTCTGCCCTCTCCAGGTTTCTGTTTAGACTCGTCTTCTAGAGTCTATAACCTTTGTGATGGGCTCACTGATTTTTCTGGCCCAACTACCTAGTTTTATAAGCCACACAAACCAAGAGTGCTTTTTTTTTTTTAATATTTATTTATTTATTCCTATAGAACTGGGGTATAGGCCAGAGGCTCAGGGGCAGTGAGAGGCTTCACCAGAGACAGAGTGGGGAGTGGAACAGGCAGATCATTGAAGTACACTGCTGAGGGGAGCTGTGGGCCGGTCAGGAGAGGTCTGCCATGCCATGTTGATCGCCTCTGAGGCAGGCAGGGATTGAACTCATGCTGAAGTGGCTTTAGCTTCTTAGTGCTGTGTTTCAACCCGCTGCGCCACCAGGGAAGGTCTCAAGAGGGGTTTTTATGCTATTAAATGGTTGGGTGTGGGAAGAGGAGGATTTCATGACATGTAAAAACTATATAGAATTAAAATTTAAATTTCCATAAATAAAGTTTTATTGGAACATAGTCAACGCATTTGTTTATGTGTTAATTCTGTCTGCTTTCATGCTAACCCAGCAGTAATGAGTAATAGAAACAGAGGTTATATGGCATGCAAAGTGTGAACTACTTTGCTGGTGCTTTATAGAAAACGTGCCAACCCAGGGATAAGTGAGTATAAGCTTCTTGTGAACAGCAGCTGAGACTCAATATTTTTTGGGACTCCCCCACTCTCCATGGTGCCCAAACAGGTCAGGAGTGGGGCAAACTAGCTAAGAAATAAGGAATTTGGATTCATTTAGACCTGAATTTGACTTTAAATCTCTCATTTTTTTTTTTTAAATGGTAGCTTGACCTTATAAAAAGTGACTTACGGGCCCTCCCTAGTAGTGCAACGAGTTAAAGCATTATGAAGCTCTCCGAATACACTGCAACATGAATTCAATCCCTGGCCAAGGAGCTGACCCACATGGCATGACAGACCTCTTCTGACCCACCCGCTGTTACCCTCAGCAGTGTACTTTCTCAATCTGACTATTCTGCTTCCCACGCTATCTCTGATGAATCTTCTCACCCACCACACCTCTGGCCTATACCCCAGTTCTGTAAGCATAAATAAATAAATAAATCTAAAAAAGAAAAGTGACTTAATCTGTTTGAGTCAGTTTTCTCATCTGTGAAACAGAAGAAGTGCACCTCCTTCATAGAATTTAGGTTTTAAAGTGATTTAATGTGGCTGTAAACACTCAAGTACAGTGTCTGGCACACAGTAAGCACTCAATAAATGCTAGTGATATTATGATGACTCTTTATTGAGGGAAAGGCATTTTTAACCCACTCTTCTAAAAGAAAAAAGCAGGGAAGAAACATGGCTCATTTCTCTCACTAGCCCTGATATATTCCACCTTTAAGAAGGAGAAACTCATCTAGAAGGAGGAGGTAAGCATGTGCAGTTCAGTCCAGATGCCCATCTCTCCAGCTCCCAGCCCCCTCTGGGATACAGGACACACACCTTTCGTGTCACTTCAGCAACTGGGGTGCTGTGGTGGGGCTGGAGCACGCACTGATCCTGCCTGCTTTGACGGTGTCTGGCTCAATTTAGGGCAGACCTTTACTTTTGTGTAAAAATACTGTCTTCTGATTCTACTTGTTACATGTGCTGATTGTAAAAATGACAGAAATGTGTTATGCTAAGTACATCAACATAGTTCTCTTCCCTTGCCCTATGTGGCATAACAACCAGACAGAGTTCTGAGCAGGTCATTTGGCCTGACAGGCAGGTAAGGGTGAATTTGTGAAGAGAGAACTTAAAACACATCAGGCATATAGTCAAATCGCTACTTGTCTGATTGTCACTGTTTTGCTATTATTGGAAGCTCCCTCCTGACCCATGCTGTGAGCAGGTACATTCTATACATGGATTCAGTGGAAGGTTATATAAGCTGGCCCAGATCACTGAGAAATAAGAAAAAGCTGTGTCTTGAATACTGGTCTAACCTCAAGCAAGGTCAAGCTACAGTGCTCCCACCTGGCACCTAAACACTCCAGAGACTCTGAAATCCTGGTTATTCATAAAACAGATAACCAGTGTCACACCTGTGGATGCTAGCTCACCTCATTCTCCAGGTAATAAGTCACTACCTCACAGCTGACTAGCAAACTACAGCATTGTAAAACCAAGCTACTACAGCATTGTAGAACACAGCTCCTCATTACATATACACATGTACACACACTCACACTCAATGGAATACTATTCAGCTATAAAAAGGTTAAATTTTGCCATTTGTGATAGCATGAAGGGCACTGGAGGAGATTATACTAAGTGAAGTAAGTCAAAATGGATGCCTACGTTCAGGTGGAATAAATAAAATAAAACAAAAGGAACAGACACAACTAAGCCAAAACAAATCCTAGAAATGTGACTGTAGAATTTAGGCTACCACAGGAGCAAAAATGGGGCTTGGCGTAAAAGGGGAAGTAGTTGTTACAATGGAATGTGGAGGACTGCGTGTACTTGGTGGGTGTGGTGTGGAAACATACATCTGAAAAGTTGTACCCATACCCTCACAATGATACACAGGATTGTAGGCCACCATTTCCTCAATAAAAAATAAGTCAATTTAAAAAAAAATAAAACAGAGCTCAGCTCAGACATCATCTCCTCGTGAAGCCCTCCACTCCACAACCCTCAGACCCAACAAAGCTGTCTTTGCCTTTGCGCATGGCCTCAGGCAACAATTCTGCCCTGGCACTAGGTTACTTGTTCACATATTAGTAGAATTACTTGTGACAATGTTTATACATCTTGTGAGATCATAGACTCTTGCAGCCTTTCCATTTCTGAAGCATCCTGCTTGGCAAATAGTTCCTAATCAAATGTCCTTTGCATTTAATACAAGAAATCATCAACTACATGTGACCAGCTCATCTTGGTTTGTCTGGGGCTTGTCTGGGTTACACACTGAACACCTTGCAACCCAGGAAATCCCCTTAGTCTCAAGAAAACTTCAGTAACTGATCACCCTAAATTAGTATTCCGCTAGTTACCTACCTCATACAGGTACACACTATGGGAACAGAACTTGGGCAGACCTGAGGCCGAGCCACTAGGGGTGCTACACACAGAAGGTTGACTCTTCCGTAGTCCGTCTGGGCAGTAAGCACACAGGAACTGTGCTGGGGTTGTTAGCAGGAACCTCCTCAGTGGGCAGGCAGGCTCTGGTCAGAGGCCCCAGAACAGCTGGGCCCAAAAGGTATAAATCTCCTCAGACAGCTTCTGGCCGCTTCTGATGTGATCCTGCTGGGATTGACAGCCCAGCGCGGCGAGATCCACAGCAGCTGGGTGACCAGGCAGGCCAGCACTGCCTCATAGGTACAGCTGTTTGCCAGTTTCCATTCATCACGTCATTAACAGCCTGAAATGAGCTTTTCACCAGCACAGTTCTACTCACCATTCTGTTGCTTTTCTCCTGACGATTTCTCGGCTTTGGAATTTTTCCCACGAGGATTGTGGTTTTTGTTGGTGCGCGTTCCGTTGACTTGGTTCTTAGCTTCCTCAGATGTCTTTTTCTCAGCTTTGCCAGATGCTCCTTCTTCGGCCTGGCCTTTGGCTTCCATTTCCTTCTGCTTCTCCTCTGCGGCCAAGCGAGCCTTTTCCTCTGCTTCCTTCTTGGCTTTCTCCTCTATTTCCATGGCAAATTATAAAAGGCAGAGAAAAGATAAAAAGAGATCCCCATTAGAACAACTGACTGACAAAAACAATTATTTGCACTGGGAATTATTTCACTAAAATGATATAAGGTTTCTACTGAGTGTTTGGGTTTATTTTTGGTTAATATACACCCATCTGGCATGTGTAGTCAAGGATCTAATACAACTGATTCTTGGTGATGTCGTTTCTGAAAAGAGTGGGTAAGAAGAGATCAGGAAGAAAATAAAATTAAGGAAAATAATAATGAGCAAACTAAACTGTCACTAGCATTATTAATATTATGACTAACAAATTCTCTCGAATGTATTCTCTATGTCAGGTGTTAACGCTAAGTATTTTTAGGAGTTACCACTTTTCATTCTCAAAACAACAGTCTGTGGTAGCTACTACTACAATAACATTATTTTACGAAAGTGGAATCGAGGCTCAGAGACATCACAAGTTTCTTCCGTGGAGACAGGAAAAAATAGTTTCATGTTGAAACTCCAATGCTTGGGACTGGGAGTTTAAAAATAAACAATCAACTACAAGACAAATAGGGAAAATCACCACCACTAGAATGACATAAGGTATCTACTGAGCATTTTGGTTTCAGGCCATTGTGAATTTATAAGTAGGAAGAAGATTTTTTTTTTTTAGATTTATTTATTTATTAGTACAGAACTGGGGTACAGGTCAGAGATGCGGAGGGTGAGAGGATTCACAAGAGACAGAGTGGGGAGCAGAATAGGCAGCTCTATGAAGTACACTGCTGAGGGGAGCAGCGGGCGGATCAGGCGAGGTCTGCCGTGACATGTGGTCACCTCCAGGGCAGGCGGGGATCGAACTCATGCGGAAGCGGCTTTAGATACTCAGTGTTGTGCTTTAACTCACTGTGCCACCAGGGAGGGCCGAAGATTTTTAAAAAGTCTTCGAACTGCCCACAAAGAGAGGTCATCTTTAATTTGGCCGAGGGCTCTAGTCTGTGACTCTCCCTCTAATGAGAGGATGTCAAGTCTTATTTTCAATTCGGTGACTGTAAAAGGGTTTGGTTCTGGATGTAATCAAAACCACAGTGCAAGTGTGTAAGCATTTATGAAAAGACTGGTTCATTCATTCAACTAATGTTTACTGAGCAACAATAGTGTCAAGCACTGTTTTAGGCACTGGGAATAGAGCAGTAAGCCTACTGACTTATGGATGCAGATCATGGCAAGTAAACAGATCACTAAGTTAATTTCAAATACTGTAAACTGCTTTACAAGCAGGAAAGAAGAGTAATATAAGTGAACACCATCAATATGAGGAAGGGAGGAGCCATTAGAGAAGGAGGTAAAGAAGGTGATGCTGGATTAAGTCCTGAATGACTTGGATCTAGCCTTGTGGGAAACAGTGTTCCAGGCAGAGGAAATTTTAGAAACTGGAAAGGCCATGAGGCAGACATGAGCTTTGTACAGCCCAAAGACACTGAGATAGGCAGTTTGGTCAAAGCAAAGTTGTTAGCAAGTGGTAAAGGATAGATGATGGGCTAGAATGCCCAAAGACAAACAGCTGAGCTGTTCATGGACCTTAAGGCCTGACCAGGCAGTAGAGGGGGATCTGGGCCATAGGAATTCCAGAACATGCACAAAAGGCACCTAATAGACCAATTTTCTGCCTGGAGATTCATCCTGTTTAGCATTCATTTCACTGAAAAGGTCAAGCTCCATTATGAAAAGCATTATTACATATCCCGTTTAAATATGCTACAAATGTCCCACACCTATGATCAGGAGTCCTCGTTGTCTCCCTTGGTAAGTCTTGGTCCTAGAAAGTCCTGGTTTTCATAGACATGTTTGCTTTTAATTTAATGACCTGCAGCATGATTATGCAGCTGACCAAGCTTTCTTTTGTTTTAGCTGCTAAAAAGCACAGTCAAGGCTCTCTCTGGTGGCCCAATGGGTTAGGATGCAGCACTGCAAGCAAGCCACAGCCACTTCGGTGCCAGTTCTATCCCCGGCCCCAGAGATGATCCACATGGTGCGGCAGACCTCTCCTCACCTGCCCGCTGCCCCCCTCAGCAGTGTACTTCATCAATCTGCCTGTTCTGCTCCCCTCTCAGTCTCTGGTGAATCCTCTCACAGCTCCTGCACCTCTAGTTTGCATGCATAAATAAATAAATCTTTTAAAAAATGAACAATGACATAAAAATAAATAAATTAATTAAATTAAATTAAAAAAAAAAACACAAAGTCAAAATGGGGTCCATGTCTACAAGTCCACAGGGCTTTGTGGTACTGTGCTCTGTGGATGGCTGTAATCTTCAGCTTCATTGTATTTTTCTGCCCTGACAGTTGTTTCCTCAGATGTTTTCAATGATTCAATATAAAATTTTCATTTAATCTTTCATTGATTCACCCACCCACCCATCCAAACCAATACCCTGGCCTCACCCCAGATATTTAAATCAGGTTCTGGGGGGAGAAAGGTAAGAACAGAATATGCTAAAATCTCTCCAGATGATTCCAGCATTTAATCAGGTTTGTCAAGAATTGATTTAAATTTGAAATGTTTAACATTCAATTTTTCATGGCAGGATGTATCTACAAATTACAATAAAAAGAAAGTATTTCTTTACAAAAACATAATCATGTGCATATATAGTATAATAAGGCTCCTGACTTTAAAATAAAGGTACAATTGTTGGGGGGAAAGGATGTCTTAAACTCTACAAACACAGGTTTTATGGACCCCACCCACACTCCACAACAAAGAGATTCAAGGACTACAAATCCCATAGTGCCATTACCACCAAAGGGAGGAACTGAGGGTGGCATTAAGCAAATAGGTATAATACCAGACATGTCCCGAGATGTGGGTCTCGGGAGTGTTTGGCTTTCGTTGGCTTTCAGCTTGCTATTGGGTCCCAACTCAATGGAACTAGTAGGACACATCAAAATGCATCTCTCTCTCTCTTCATTCCTGAGTTATTAATTTCTTCATTTTCCCCTTTTTTGTAAGTAAACCCTCTATTACCCTTTTGATATGTGCCTGCAGTTGAGTCTCATTATAAGCCCCCTTTAAGCACATGGGGAGGACCCACAGTCAGGTCACCCCGTTTCACATTGGGGCTGCCCTGTAACACAATGATTAAGAGCGTCCAGTTGGAAGAAGGTGATGGTGAGAAGGCATCCTCCGCACACCGGCAGGACCACAGAAGGCCTCCAAGAATGCCTATTCAAGCTTCCTCTCAACTTTCCACAATGCATTCAGGACAAAGACTAAATGTCATCTCCATCAGTGTATTTCCAGCCTTTCGTACACCACCAGGCACATAGCTGTTGCACATGGGACATTTGTTGAGTAAATGAAATGTATGATTTATCCTCAGCCAATGGCCCTGACCTGCACATATTCCTCACCAACAATCTAAACCAGTGTGCAATACAGAAAATATACAGACTCCAAAGTCCTATTCTGAAAGAGTTAGCTATTTGGCAAATTGTCCCCTCAACCACTCATGTAGGTGAGTAAAAAGATGACTGCTCTTACTAGTCTGAGAAGGAAAATAACACAAGAGAAATTTGCTCTTACTCAGGTATGAAGGAAAACTCTTCACAGAATCCCCACTGACTGAGTGGCAAACTTTCAACATCCAAAATGCCCACAAGTTAAAAATAATTTGATAAAAACTGAAGGTGTTAAATTCTGGTTTACCTCAGAAGAGCATAAAACATTATCTGGGCAAGAAAAATTCATTTGACAACTGAGTCAGAACAATTTTCTATGGGAACTCTAGTAAAAAAGAAGTAAATAAAAAACTGAGAGGAGGGTACACTTTGGAAACAAATCTGGTTTTGCTCAATTCCAGGTGACAGCAGGCAATTAATGCTTAGATGAAGGAATGATCACTCTCATAACATCATAATCTGATCAGACAGGAGCTTGGCCCCCTGCAGTGAGCCGTTCAAGCAGTGGCTCTTCAAGCAGTGGCTCTTCAGGGGCCTTCAATTTCTCTACCTCCATCCCTTGCTCAGATCTCTGAAATATCTGACATTAGTGCGAACAATCATCAACATCCCGTGGTACTACTCGAAATGAAGAGACAAAGCCAACAAACACATACATAAGAAAAAAAGGTAATAAATGGGCAGGATGTAGGGCGGCTGTTCCAGTATAGTTAGATTCTCTTATATTTTCAGGATAAAATATCTAATACACATGAAACTTTCCTACACTGAGAAAATGTGAGAATGCAGGTAACCTGTCGGTACACAGTTTCCCAAGGTGGCATCGGTACAGTCAATTAGCTGTTCAGGTCTTAGATTTAACATGCTGGCATTCCCAGGCTTCTTGCCCAGAGAGAGCAAATACCATGGTTGATCCTGTCTCTGGTTTTTGTCCCATGTCAAACTGTCTATGTGATGTGACTTATATTATGAGAGAGCACAGAAGTAAGCAGCTGAAGAGTTAAGGTAGAGCAGAGCCCTTGTGATGAATAAATTGCATTTCCCCTGAGAGTAGTTCTATCTTACGCTGAATGTCTGCACAGTCTGGTAGAAATACACTAATTTCTTCATTTAATTTGCCCTTCTGAATAATGATACTATAGGCTCTTGGTTAAAAATGGTATTGGGCTAGTTGTCCCTTGACGTAATTTTTCTGAAATGCTTAGGTAAACTACCTATAAAGAGAAAAAGGAAAACAAAGAAAGAAAAGGAGAAAAAAGGACTAATCGAAAAAAATACCATATTAATTTTGAACTTCCAATTCTCAATTATATACAAGAATAACAGAAAGGAACTTCTAGACATATAAAGACTCAAAAGATGCTCCCACAGACACCTGTGGGAAACCAGCTCAAGCCATGGTGCTTGAGCTGACAGGAAAATTCAAATTCAATATTAAAAACTCAAGAAGGAAATATATAAGTGTATTGCCTACATATTTAAACTTGTAAAGCTTAACATGATAAACGTGTAAACATAACAAAACTTGTGAAGCTTAGTGTGTTAAATAGATTGCTATTAAACTACAAACAAAATAATGTAAATATTTAAAAGGACATTAAAAGATAAGTGTACTATAAAATAATAATTTACTTATGATCACCAAGGCTGGAAATCTCAATCTCAATAGAAAATGAGTGATGAGGGAGAAAATTAATACAAATTCACTAAGCTTCTCAGCATTAACAAAGAAGCATCACTATTTATTGTGGTATATACTATTTCATATTTACATTGATAGAAATAATTTAAAAAATAGAGTGATGGTAATCTCCATCAACTAAAATAAAATTAGGGTATATAAAAGAGATGATAAGCAAAATTAAAAGCATGTGGAAAATTGGAGTGCAGCACAAATTGCAAAACATTTTGTCAACCTACTATTATCATTCTTAATATGTAAACAGTTATTATAAACCAATAGGAAAGTATAAACATCCTTGTGGAAAATATGAAGGAGGATAGGAAAGGGAAATGGCCTTGTACTACCCTTCCACAGGGAGAGAAATTTGGTAAAACAAACAAAAGAACAAAGAACTTTGCAGAGAGAAATCTGACATTATATATCAAGAGCTTTAAATTTTGTCATCAACTTTAATAGAATCTATCTAATTGCTGAATAAGTGCAAGTACTGGAAATTTGTTTGATAGCCCAGCTATTCTCAGAAAAAAATTACATAACCCAGGCCTTTTGCCTGAAGCTACCTTCTTCTTCCTTGCTCAATACAAGACCTCCATCAGAACTCCACCCCAGGCTATGAGCTAGCTGCCTTTCATTCTTGGCTAGAAAAATTGCCCTCCCCAAGCCTCAGGCATGGTTAAGGAGGAGTCCTAAAATAAGCAAATCTCTCTCAGTATACCTAGTATGTTTTAAAATTATTGACATTTACTTATCTTATTTTAAAGGGCCAGATTTCCTCTGGAGAAGAAAACTGTCTAATGCTCCCCCAGGTAATTAGTTTCAGAAGGTAATTTTAGTAAGCCAGCTAATTGCAAACAAATTATTTTGAAGTACTTTTTAAATTGTGTGTTGTCAGGAATTGGATTTTCATGAGTAATGAGTGTAATTGATTATGAAAGTGCTTTTATATATACATATTCTTGAGATGATACAGTAGCTTCCATCACTGCTTGCAATGCTTGCCAAAGGGAAGATGTTAATGTTTACAGCATCTGAGGAGACTGTGAGAGGCAACCTTAAAATAGGGGCGAGGCAATGGCTTCCTTCATAGCTTAGGGTGAACATCTGTCCTGAAATGTTGAGGGCCCAATTAGGTCACCATAGGTATCAATCCTTTAAACTCACCATAGGTATGAATCCTTTGCATCCCCTGAAATAAGTAGTCACTAGAGCAGGATTTCACGGGCAAGGCCCAGTGGTTGGCTTTTGAGTAACTTCAACAGAGAGGCCTCCCCCATTCTAAAAGCAGTTCCCCACATCTCCCATGCTTGAGGGGCTACTCCCACCCCTGGGACTTGTGTTAATACTGGGAAGATGAAATATTGTTTGGGAGATTAAAAACTCTCTGTGCCTGTTATGAGTGTCTGGGGTTCAGGACTGGTAAGCACCGGCAGCAAGTGTGAGTTCAGTCAAGGACTAAGCATCTGTTCTTTTATTGGAAGACACTGTATCCCCCTCCCAGAAGACTGTGAACTTTGAGGACAAGGATGTCCAGTATTCATCTCTATACCCTCCCCACAGAGCCTGGCACACAGTAGGCACCTGGAAGATTATGGCAAAACTGACATGTTGAAACTTCACCTCCTTAGTGAGGACTACCCCTGACTAAGCTCCAAGAGTCATCCACAAGCAGGTAGCTTAAGAGTGTGATCGCTATAAAAAGAAGTTCCCTGTCCCTAGCTCCACCTAAGGAACAGTAGAGCAAAGTAGCAAAAGTAGAAACTGAAAGAAGACTTGGGAGCAGCAGGAAGAGCAGCCATCTGAGAAGTTCCTTCTGTTTCTTGGCCTTGGACTTGCACCAGGGTCTTGGGAACATGAAAAGAGATGCTTGGAGTTGAGACATATAGAGACACTGGAAGAGACATGGGTGAGCGGACCAACAGAAGCTTCTATCTTGACTTGTACTTAGATTTTGCTCTTTTCATCCCAGACTTGCCTGGCCCCTCTTGTCCCTTTCCCATTGTTTCCTGCCCAAAGATGCCTTAGACTTGTGGCAGGCTTTCAGGTGGCCCCACTGTGGGTCACCCCTATTTGGCTAGGCATTTACCCATAAGGGGATATGGTGATTTGGGGAGTTTCGTTGGGAGGCTACATCTTTTCTTCTCTTTCTATGCACACTACTAATTCTTTTAAAGTTTGTTTGTATTGAAGTCTTACACTAAGAATATGTTTTGTCCTTATGCCACAAATGACAGGAGCCATTTAGAGCATGCAAGCCTAAGGATTTTGGGTGCCCTCAGTTTGCCCTTGAACAGTTCACCACAGCTTCACAGCCCTATCTCAGATACCTGTCCCTCTGAGACTACAGTATGAGCATCTAAGGAATGTGATCATTTCACATGTTTTCAATAAAAACACATACATGCATGACAAATGAGTTTCAGCTGCCAAAAAACCACATGGGTTTGTCTTTTTTGTTTGTTATTGTTGCTGTTGTTTTTTGTCTTTTATGGTACCAAAGTCATGACTTTTTCTGATTTGAATTTTGATGGTGTCCACATCAGCAAATTTCTGTTGCTTGCATGTTATATTCAGAAGACCAGCCTTAGTAATGGCTAAAGGGAAACTGTAAACATGAAAGGAAGATAACAATGCATTAAAGAAAATAAAGCTCTTTCTTTCTCAACATAATGACTGAGGTGGTTCTTGGCCAGACTTTAGTTAAAAGATGTCACAGAGGCCTCATAATTGTGTCACATTGAAATGAGAATGATGAGAAAGTTTAGAAGAAACCAAGAAATAACAAAACCTTCCATGGTCTCTTTATACCAACAAAAGTTGTTCAGTCACACAGCACAGAGGTCATGCTGTCAGGAGTCAGAGCCTGCTATCAAGCCCTGGTATTAGATATAATGATCAAAAGATCTTAACATTCAGTAATTTGAACCCACATGCTGAGATTGTGCTTTGTTTGCAACACTTATAAACCAGGGATGTCGGGGCCAGGTTTTATGAGTGGGCGCTGAGTGGGTCAGACAGTCCTTTCGGAAGATTCCCCAACAGCACATTACCTTTGGGCACCTTGGCCCTCCATCGTTCGCGATTGATGTGTACCACCTCCGTCCAAGTGGTTTTAAAACTCTTATAGTCAACGGGGATCACATTGTTGTTGACTGGGGCACTTCCTTCTGAACCAGCGCTCTTGACACCTGATCGCTTGGCATCTGCTGAACTGATACTGTTCAGACTAGAGGGCAAAAAAAAAAAAAAAAAAAATCATAGAAAGAGGAGGGTCAGTGTTAGGAAAACAAAGGTCAACTGACAAGCCCAGGGAAGGGGTGGTTAGCATTCCCCAAGTTACTGCCTTGAAATCCCTAAGTCGTGAGGCTTGTAATTATTTTATTTTCCACATGTGACAGATAGAAAATATGGCATTTTCAACAGGAAATAAAACCAAGATTCCATCTTGTGACTATTGATAATCCCCATATTTCTTCTGTTGACTGGTTTTGTCTCTTTTTTAGTAAGACTAGAATCCTCACCCATGAATTTCTATCTTCAACTCTCTGGCATTAATTAATTTGAACTCAACTTCCAGTTGGCCCCACAGTTCACCCACTGCTTCCATAGTAGCCACTTTTCCAAGATACCCAATATAATTTCTAACAAGAAGCATGTATTTGGTTTTTCACCTCTTTCTTGGCACAGACCTCTTAAAGCCCTAGGGAGTTCCGAAGTTACCAGAACTATAGAATTGCCTTTTGTTATTTTAATAAGGAGATGTGGGGACCATTATTTTAATAATGGGTGGGGGGTTGGCAGGCCACAGAGAGCCAACTGTGTTCAGTCCCACCCTCAAACTCCTGAGAGTGGAGAGGGCAGAGGGTTGAATCATTTGCAAAGGCCAGTGGGTTACTCAATCACACCTAAATAGTGAAGAATCTAGAAAAATCCAAAAGGACAGGGTTTGGAGAGTCTCCGGGTGGGTGAACGTGTAGACATTTGGGGAGAATGTTGTACCTGGGGAGAGCAAGCAAGTTGACACTCTTCCCCCATATTGGCTCTATGCATCTCTTTCATCTGGCTGGTTTTGAATTACATCCTTTTACAAATGAATGGGTAGTTTGGTGAGTACCATGTTCCTTTGAGTTCTGTGAAGGACGCAAACCTTTGATTTGAAACTAGTTGGTCAGAGTATAGGTAACAACCTGAACTTGACCTGATGTCTGAGTTCAGGAAGAATGTTTGGGGACCTCCAATTTGTAGTCCATTGGTGAGAAGCACAGAAAACCTGGGTTTGCAACTGGAGTCTAAAATGAGAGCAGGACATTATGGGTGGTGGAATACTATCTCTGGGTACTACAGTGTCAGAATGCAGTTGAATTCCAGACACCCAATTGGTGTCCTGGCATTGCTTATTGTCAATGTAGAGAAACTCTTTACCCATATGTGTATTGACTGGAATTTGATCCAGAAAAAGTTTTACCTAGCAACTTGGTCTCCTCTCTCTCCATTCCCAAGTCTCTATGCTCAGTGTGTCCCTGATCTGAGAATCCCCAAGGCCTGGGTAAGATTCCTAGGGGAATCTCAGTGGAGAGGCAGCCAATTTGGAGATAAGAGACCAGTTGTGTGAAAGATCTTTTTTATATGAATATTAACTGATGTCCTAATCATGGGCAACTTTGCAAATATTAGAATGTAATGTGCCATCCTCTGGGAAATGTTGAAAAATCATTACACACCTCCAGATGACTGACACTACGCCTGATTAAACAAACAGTTATTTCAGTCCAGTGTTTGCAGCACTGTGGGCCTGGGGTCTTGAACAGAGAGCTCCACTCTTCTCATTAGAAGATTTGACTGGACCCATCCACCATGAACATCCCCGGTATCCCAGTATTTTAATATTCCTCTCGCTTTCCCTTCTATTTATGATTTTTTTCTCTTTAACCTATTCAATCCATTACTCTCTTCTCTTCTTGTGAAAACTCAAAATCTTGCATGGACAAAGAGGACAGAGATAGTAGAAAAGGTGATACTAGCAGCATTAACAATTCCTAGCTTTGTCTTAGCTAGCTCCTCGTTATGGTGGACCCTGCTATGTATTTTAGGTAGATTGAATAACTCGCTTAATCTCCCTGCAGCTGCTGAGTATTACAATCCACATTTTTCCACATGGGGAAACTAAAGCAATTTGCTAGCGATGGCACAACTCGTAAGTAATGGGGTCAAAAAGTTAACCCCAACAATGTGATCCAGACCCTGCATCTTTTAACTATGAATCTTCTCTTCATATAATGATATATGGCAGTAGATGAGTTAAAACATTTAGGGTCATTTCCTCTCTACTTTATTCTCTGCCTGTACCTAAAAACGAACACTAGAGTCTTTCTTGTGAAACTCTGGTCAAGGCTACTATCTTTTTGGATCAGGAACAAGAAGTGTGTGAGCACAGTCATCAGTGCTGCCATGAGCAAAAAGGCACCAAAAGAGTAAATGAATGTTATGGGGGTGAGCAATGGGGTGGGTGTGGGTATGTATGCTGCACTTGCACACCCATCTGTAAGGAGATGGAGAGCTGTGTAAGTAACTAGCACCTGGCAGTCATGCTTTGGACCTCGGGTGTCCCCCTCAGGCCAGCCTGGAGAACATATATAATACAACTTCAATTCCTCTAATTAAAAAAAGGCAGACGATTCTCTTTTTTTGAAAATACAGAGCAATTGTCACTATGAGACAGCCCCCTTAGCCCCTTCTGAAAGTAGAACCCTATCTTCATGGACAATTGGCCTGAAACCCCAGCCTGAAGCTTCTCCACTGACCTTGAACGCCTCTGTCCAGTCCCACCCGTCTGGGAGGGTTCATCAATGAGCGGACTCACGATCTTTTCTGTCATGTCTGTGAGCACAGTGAAGGTGGGCTCCACAATGAAATCAATAAAACCTGAAGAGACACGGCAGTACATCAGAGGAACTCCATATTAACTTAGGCCTTTTCATATTTTCCCATGGAAATTTATGAGTTCTCATCTCATCTTTCTTTTAAAACTCATCTACACATGAGCACCAGATGAGATCAAGAATGAATAGGCTGGTCTTATATCATAGCCTTTGATTTGAACAGCTTGAGTCAGTTCTCTTTTTCCTACATAAGTGTCCTATGACATCTTAGTAGATAATCCAATAAAATGCCTAAAAATACATATTCGGCCCCTACCATGAAACAAACACTATGTATGAGACTTGTAGGGCAGATTATAATGACCCCAAAAGTATAAGGAAAGAGTCAAAGGAAAAGCACAAACAAAGCCCTGTGAAGGTCAGGGAGTAGCAGGGAAACAAGCAACAGCTTTATTGAGGCTGTGATGTTTGAGCTGAGCCCTAAGACCAACTCTTCACTCCAGGTGCAGGAGATGGAATAAGGAAAGAGACAAGGATGGGGAGGGCACAGGATATGTGTGATGCTGAGGCTCAAGGGTTCTTTTGCAGTCAGGGAGGGAAACCTTGGGAGACACATCATCATCAGCCAGGGAGGGAGGCGCCCAGTGTCGGGAAAGAGACGGGCTTAGGAAGGCACTAAGAGCCTCTGGAGATGTTTGGGCAGCATTGTGATGAGACTTTTTAAGTGTTCTTTGACAAAATGAACCTGGCAGGTGAATGGTAAGGGAGAGAGCAAGAGGCACTAAGGCTGGGAAAGTCATTTTAGAGGTTGTTGCAGTAGCTCAAGGACAATTGAGGCAGGCAGACTCCAGCGGCACTGTCAGCAGCAGGAGATGGGGTCTGTCCAAGACCAGCAGCAGCAAAGCAGAGAGCACACAGGGACAAGGAGTAAGAAAATCAGCAGGCTCAGTCTTAGATCTGCTGCACATGAGATTCAGGAGATAAACCCAGAGAGGTATAGGGAAGAGGAAGAAGAGTTGGAAGAAATAGGGCTGAAAACCAGGAGAGGGGTCGGACCTGGGATGTAGCTATGAAGATCACCATGTTTTGTGAGCCAGCTGATGTCGAGCTAAAGTGATTGTCTCAACAGTCACATACCTGTGTTGTGTGACACATTGGGAAAAAATGTATGAGCTGGAACTAGTGACGGTGATTCATGTGAAAGTTGGAAGGAAATTAACTAACAATTAAAGGAAATGCAGTTTGGAAATGTACAAAAGCCTATTTGGTTTTCACAATGACTGTGGTGGGATGATGATACTAGCCTTTAATGCCCAGCAGTGATTGGGTTAAAAGACCTGTCACGTAGTTGGGAAAATAAAAATTGTCACAGTCAGATGCCAAAAGTAACCTGAGAGGGAAACCTGACAATTAAATTTGTGTTGTAGTTAATTCTGGTTTCATTTTAAGTTGAAACTGAAGAGTTTGATGACACCATTTTCACCACTTTCTTTTTCTCACAAGTGAAACTGAACATTCTAAACCAGAACTAACTGATCAGCTCTCCCTCCACACCCTGCAAAAGTCTGACCAACCACTTACCCTAGATTGCTGCTTCCACCTTAACTCGGCAGGACAACATGCACAGCCACTTGCTGTGCATGCTGGCATCCCGCTAGTTACCTTGCTGCTAGTCTTTCTCAAAATCCTCCAATCAGTCCCACAGACTGATAGAGAAATCTAAACCCCATTTCTAAAATGGGGTTGGCAGGCCCTCCCTGGTGGCACAGCGGGTTAGGACACAGTATTGCAAGGGAGCCTCAGCTGCTTCAATGCGAGCTCAATCCCAGGCCCCGGAGGTGATCCACAGAGCACAGCAGACCTCTCCTGTCTCTCCTGTGCTCCCCTCAGCAGTGTATTTCAGTAATCTGTTTGTTCTGCTCCCTGCTCTGTCTCTGGTAAAGCCTCTCACTGCCCCTGCACCTCTGGCCTGTACCCCAGTTCTGTGTGAATAAATAAAAACTTTAAAAAAAAATAAAATGGAGCTGGCAAACTTGTGGTAAAAGGTGATATGATAACTATTTCCCACTTTTGTGGACCCTAGAACAACTGATTAACACCAGTGTATGGCAAAAATAGCAACAGACTATGCAAATGAATGAGCGTGGCCACGTGGTGCTAAAATTTTATCTGTAAGACCAAGCATTGGTCTCAACAGTTAGTGCATAGTCTATAGTTACTAGTTTTTATTCTAAAACATCCATTTATGTATATTTAACCCTTCATTGCCTAAGGAAAGTACAACACACAATAAATATCCTTTTACAATATATAATGTGGATCTGGTTTCTCTCCAAACATATCCCTCATTGCATTCTAATCCCCAGTCATAGAGAATTATCTGTAATTCTTTGATCATACTAAGCTGTTTTAGAATTCCATATTTATTATATTCTTGTGATCTTCTACACAACTGTAATACACATCAGCATTAGCCTAGACACTGCCTACTTCTCTGTTATGACTCAATTCAAGTACTACTCTTTCTGTGTCTAGTGGTCACATACTTTGTGTAGTACCTGGAGGTCCTTCATGTCATCTGTTCCTAGCGTCATGATACTTTAATAGATTTTGTGTTCATGGCCTACAGCTCTGAGAGAAGATTCCATGTACAATTTGGTTTTGTTTTTCACAACATCTATTGCAGTGCTTACCAGTGCCCAACACCTAACAGGAACTCCAACCATTACTACGAAAAAAATGAGTAATTTCTCAAAACGCAATAAATCCTTGTTGTATTTACTTTTTGAATGACTTCAGACTCTTCTACAGAGGAGACATTTAATTTATGTTTGGCAAAGGTACTCTCTCATCTGAGTATTTTTTGGTAATGTACACATTTTAATGCTATTAGAAGTAAAAAATTTGTCCTTACCAAAAAAATAGTGCTAAAAATTTTTTTTTGAAAGGAAAGGAAGAAAACATTTAAAATGTGTTATTCCTGGAAGTAGGGCCTTCCAAAAATGAGGATCTCCTGGAAACAGAACTAGAAGAATCATAAATGATGAGAAATGCCACGGAAACTTATGCTACTGCATGCAGAATGAATTGACAAAGCAGAATGGGCTTTTTGCCACTAATTCTTGTTATCTTCTTGGAGATCTGAAGCTCCCTGTTGTTTTGGCAGGGAATGATGAAGACAGCAGAGTGACGCTGAGCCTGCCCATGAACCAGCCCATTCCAGGAAGAAAGAGTGGACAGCGGCTCCATCAACCCAGCCAGCCAAAGCCCCGTGAACAGCAGGGCAGGATGGAGCCAGGTTCCCAGGGGGAGAATCACCAAGTGCATCTGAGTCTACTGCAATGGACATCTCTCCAGTTTTTCTGTCCAAAGGACTGGCAAACACATACCTACTTGGGACTGAGCAACCATGGTTGACTTTCGGTCACACAGAGGAGAAAAAGGTAGCCCCAGTTCTGCTTCTCTGTCACCCTGGAAAAATAAGAGGTCCCAGTAATTTAAGAACAGTCAGGTTCAAATTCCCAGATTTGACTTAGCAACTTCAACCGCTCCAAAGGTCAATGGTTTTTATGTTAATTATTACAATTACATTATGTAATAAGTCTTTATGGGGTCTGCTCTTCTGCATAAAAGACACCAAGAGACTGAAGCCCTCTGGGGTCCAATCATTCCATCCAACTGCAAAGGCACATGCTGTTGTAGAGAAAGCCTCATCAGGCAGCAATCGGTCCCCTGGGGGATGTAAGAAAAGCGCCCGTCCTGTGGCTTGCAGCCAACAGTGCAGTCAGAATTCCTGTGCTCTCAAGTGGCCCTGTGTCCACCCCTGGTCTTTCTGGAACCAGTGCGCCCCTCCTAGTTATGGGCAGCGTCCAGTAAACAAATCTAACTGAACTGCCTTGGACTTATTCCCCAAGTACTACCAAAGCCACATACTACTTGCAGCCCTGTGTCCTTAACTACAGGGCTCAGTCCATAATGAAAAGTGGACAAATAAAGCGGTAGGGTAAATAATTGCTTGAGCTTATTGAGCCAGAAAACAATAAAACATGATTCTCTGACCAATGTATTTTCTATTGCATCTCAAAAATCATCATTATAGCAAACAAGTGCTATAAAAAGTCCAAATCATGATGGAGAGGATTTGAAAATCTGAACCAGAGACTCAGTGCTGTCACCACACACTGGGAGAAAAGGAAGACCTCCCACCTTTCTTAAAGTGTGAAGTGGTGCTGATTTATTTTATCAGAGTCTGTACAGGTTAGTGACTTCTGACTTGGGCTTGAATCTTCCCTTTCTCCTACTAATTGTGTAGGCTATTTACCCTGCCTACATTTCAGTTTTAGGAGTTTTAGGAGCTATAAACTGTAGGACAATCATCCCTACCTCATTAGATTACAATGAAGATTAATGAGAATATATATGTTATAAATAATAAAGAACTTCCAACAGGTATCCTAATGAGAAGCATTTGGTAAATATGATATGCCTCAGACATTCTGATTACAATAAATATCACCAATAAAATTAATGGTGAGTAAAGAGTAATAACAACCTAGTTCAAAATTCAGACATAACTCAAAAACAGAATGTTTGTTCTTTCTAAGGCATGATACCAAAGAGAAAGGACTCCAGTTCACACACACATTTAGCATCTAAAGAAAGGACGGAAAAGGAATGGACGTTAAGGAAGCTGAACAGAGGGCTCATGGTGGAACTAGAGCAATTCAAGGGCCTCTCAATAGTTCTGAAGTGTCTCAGTTCCTCTGCGCCCTGTCCGGTGTGGACACCCATCAGATACAATGACTTCTCTGTTTCTGAGTTGGCTTTGCTGAGAGTTACACCATCTCTCATTGCATGATAAAAATAATTTACTTCCAATTATTTATACTTGGGTAGGATGATGAAAAGGAAGCACATTTATAACATAAATTGTCCTTGTGTAGATGGTTCAGTAATAATAGCTCAATTAAAACCAGTTATATACATTTTATCTCATACTTAATTGGGACACAAGTTGTTAGTATATATTAATGGGGGCGGGGAGTTGGAAGAAGAAAAAGTGACCATGAACCACAGGACTATTAATGGACTAGTATTCATTTGGATTTTATTTCTGAAAAACTACCTGATATTAATGTTTTATCCCATGGGCTTGCCCAACCATGTCTACCCATCACTTACAGCTAATGGATTTCATGGTGCTCGTATGTCCTTTGGAGGACAGATGAAGATAACATGAATGATGTTCTTCTCAAGGTGAATTCAGTTTGAATGGTAATTCAGTATTGTATGACTCTATAATTACTGGCTCTGGTAGAATTAGATATTTTTTGCTCTACAAAAGAGTTCAGTTCATAAAAGAGCAAAGGTCTTAGCAGACACAAAGGATTTTCTTTTAACTCATACTTTTTTTCTCCCAGGACAGTGCAGCAAAAGAAATAACTATTATTCATCAGGTGGAGATTATTCTGAATGAGAAGATCATGTAGTCAATCTTCAAAACAACACAATGAATATTTGTGGAATAAATGAAAAAATGAATCTTGTTAGATGTATGACAGGCAAGCTGGGAGAGCAATGAGGCAGTTAACTGTTCACCAAGCTCCCCTCCTTCTCCATTCCCTGTCCCATAGCGAGCACATTTCCCAGAATCTCTACCAGTTAATGCTAAATAATAAAACAAGAGGAGAAGGGATATTTCTGTCACAGTTCTCACCTATAAGATCTCCTATGCCTTCTAGAATTGAGTTTACCAGAGGGGAGGGAGAGGAGGAAAACAAAATGGAGAGGAGGAACAAAGGATCTGGTAGAGAACTGCAGGGGCATTAATGGGGGGTGTGGTAATATACACCCCAAAGCAGTGATCGTCTAATTCTAAAACATATAGAATCTTGTAAACCAAATTTAACTCAATACAAAGCTCTCCTATGCCTATTCCTCCAATATCTTCCCCCTTTTGCAGAGTTGATAAGGACAAGTACCACAGAGCCATGTGGCTGGTAAACTCTGGGTCTAAAATCGCTGCTTATCATCAAGCACCTGCCATCAAGAAATGCCTGTTCTACATTTGGCACCTAAGGATGATAAACTTCCATGTTATGTGTGTTGTCATGCATTTTTGGTATTTGCTACAGCACTTCTGGGTAAGCAACATATCAGGTAAGAAAAGCAAAGTTTCTTTTTGTATTGGGAGTTCACAAGGCAAATGGCATCTGCAATGCATGAGCGTTGAAAGACTTTTAGGTTATATTTCCAGGGAATCTTTTCAGGTAGAGTAAAGAAAACTTATTTGACTGGGAAGATAACAAAAGCACCAAGCCAAATGTAAAATGCAGCCATGTACAAACTTATTTCTTAGGGGAAGAAGTTATAAATATGAGGTCTGGCTCTCCCTGGTGGCGCAGCGGGTTAAAGCACTGCACTGCGAAACTAAAGCCACCTCCGCATGAGTTCGATTCCCACCTGCCCCGGAGGCGACCATATGGTGAGGCAGACCTCTCCTGACCCGCCCACTGCTCCCCTCAGCAGTGTACTTCGTCGATCTGCCTGTTCTGCTCGCCACTCTGTCTCTGGTGAATCCTCTCACCCTCCGCATCTCTGGCCTGTACCCCAGTTCTGTATGAATAAATAAATAAATCTTTAAAAAAAATAAATATGAGGTCTGAGAAATTTATCATGAGTTTGGATTTCAGATAGTGTACTAAAGACAACTTTGTTCTTTCCTCTCAGAAATTATTTTCACAAAACAAGGAGAAGGAGAAACACAAGCACAAATCTAGAAGAAATCTGTTATCTCAAAGCAAAATGACTTGAGGAAGGGATGTCAAATGCTGTACACTGTGGGAGGTAAGATTCTCAGAGACCAAGTGTATGGCTGCAAGTCTCAAAAACTCTTGAAGACAGTTCAGAATAAACAGATTATGCAGGCGTGAAGAGCAAGCCTGGGCCCTATTTAGCCCAGGAGCAGCAAAGAAGGAGGAGCTGGGTGAGGAGACACGGGCATGGCGAGAGCTGTGAGAGGCCCTGCAACTGCTGCCACTGTTACTGGGAAGAAGTAACGGCTAACACACTCGCATTCACTCACACGCACACACACGCACACACACACACATGCACACTTCATAAAAGCCTCATAACAAACCAAGGAGAATGCCAGCTAGTCTAGGACACTGCTATTCTGGTTTCTCCTTGGAAGGAACACATCTCCTACAAATGATATATTTCATTCAAAGATGGTAAATAATTCTAATAAAAGGAGAAAAGAGGAGGAGGGTGGAGAGACATACCAGCAGCAACACTACCACCCAGAAATTGTCAGGCTAAGGACTCAGTGAAACAGGAGCTAACAGAGGTCAGGGAAGATGTGGAAAAGTAAAGACTGCATGGACATCAGCGCAAAGAAGAGTTGTTCCTGACAAAGACACATCCAAGGACATGGGGGGCCAGGGGTGAAAACAGCAGGCCATAAATAAATGCCACTGATCCAAAAGTGAGAGAAGATTGAAAGGAAAAATGGAAGAGAAACCAAAGAGAGGCAACATCTGAGTGACAGTTTTCCCTACATAAAAGAACTAAGCAAATGGAAAAATAATGCATTCAATATTTAATCAATGTAAGATGACGCTGTAAAGAAAAAGAACATACCAATCCCAAGAAAAGCTAAAGCTTCAAAGGTAAAGAAATTATCCCTAGGGCACAAAAGCAAAACAATAAATCACCTAGGCATGGAAATAATTCCAGACTGGCATCCAGCCTCTTCCATAGCAACATTACAAATAGAAGACATTTGAGAGAAATCTAAATAAGACCTCAACAAAAGAAAGTTTGATTCAAAAGATTTCATACTCAAGCAAATTATGACCTAAATATAACAGCAGTAGAAAAGACTGCAAGCACTCAAAAATGTGGCCTCAATAGTGGGCTGAAAAGAAAGTACTTGAGGAACAACTCTGGCCAAGCAGTAGCTTCTCAGAACAAGCATGGCC